TTTTTTCGATATATAAATGTGGAAGCTAACAACTACATATTTCATATGATCTAGGCCATACGATGTCGTAATCAAATTTCGCAACATATGAAATATATAGTCGACTTAATATAATGGAACAATTTCTCGAAAGTGTTATTATAAAAATTATGTGAAATTATTAAAATATATTTCTTCAAATATTAATTTTTTTTAAGAAATTACATTTTAAGTTATTAATATTATTTGCATTATATTGAAATTTATTTCATAGATTGTTATACTTTATTTAATATTTTTAACAAAATATATAAATTTTTTGTTATTTATTATTACTTTTTTTTGTTAAATACAATTTTCTACAAACTTCCGTTATTGGAATATCGTAAACAGGGGATATACCACCTGGAATAGTTTCTTTTTTGGAACATGAATGTTTATCTGTAATAGTTGCAATATCATTAATATCTGGAGTCATAGATAAATTTATAGCTGGGTAAATAATAAATGCAAATGTGGCCAAGGCAGTTAAAGCCCAAATTGGAATTGCTATAGCCCAGTATTTAGAAGGCCAATATGTTAATCCTAAAGTATATAAAATTTGGTCTGGTATTACAGCCCATATCAGAAATAGAACAAAAAGCATATTTGACCCAATATATAAAGCATATCCATAAACAGATCTTGGTGCATATGGAGCTGGAATATGCTCCATTTTATATGATATTATATAAATAGTTTTAACAATAAATATTTACTTAATAATAATTATAAGTAGGTACAGGTGGGTCAAAAAGTTGCATAGTTTTTGTTACTAAAATTAAATTATCAAAAAATGAAGTTAATGCCACTCTAACTTTTCGTGCCTCTGTTCCAGAAATTGATCTATGAAAAATAACACATATTAATGTAACAAACTGTGTATATACTTAACCCATATTATTATAATAAATATGTAAAAACTTACATTTGTAATAAATTATTATTAAGTGTCAAACTCTTAGCAATACTACCTCTTGAGGGCTCTCTATCAACTCTTAATACCTGATAAACAATTTCTGCTTCCCTTTCTGATGGGAAAGGTATTGATAAATTCCTATATAAAATTAAGGTTATATCCGTAATTAAATACGACATTATGAAATTACTTATTTTAAAGGATACACACTGAAAGTACTCATTACAGCAATGGCAGTAATTATTATTTAATTCACAATATAAAAACGTTTCTTATAATATAGATTTTTATACATTTAGACATTTATATATGATATTTAAATTATTAATTTTAATAATCCGTAATAATTTAATAATTATATAATTTAATAATTCTGTAATAATTTAATAACTTGATTGCTTTTTGCAAAGTAAGATTATAATTTCCGAATTTGTTCAATGCATATTCAAAGCTGCATAACGTTTTTTATATATAGATACATATATAGTAACTTTCCTCAAACCGCATGGCGTTGTACTCCATGTTTGTTCATTGTACACAACAGTACGCAACAGTTACAACCTAAATACTGGGAAAGCTTGATACAAACTAGTATATATCAGTATTATTTGATATACTTTAAACGTAATGGGTCGAAGAAAAAGTAAACGAAAGCCACCAAGTAAAAAAAAAGCTATTCAACCATTAGATACACAATTTAATTGTCCATTTTGCAATCACGAAAAATCATGCGAGGTTAAAATGTACGTATAATTAATTTTCCGCTGACTTTTATATCACGTAAATTTCAATTTTATTATTTTCTCTTTTTATTTACAGGGATAAGTCAAAAAACACTGCTAGAATTACTTGCAGAGTCTGTCTGGAGGACTTCCAAACTACAATCAATTTACTTTCAGAACCTTTAGATGTATATAATGATTGGATTGATGCATGTGAAAATGCAAACTAAATTTTTTTATCTTTGCATCAGGTTAATGCTGATAAACTTATTATTTACTTATTTTTTTTTATTAAATTGTCAGTATTTTATGACAACTGAATCATATTACAATACGTAACCAACTCGCTGTATGTTCTATATGTTAATGAAAAGACATTTTTAATTATATAAATTCAATATTTAGTTTTAAGTAACAGTATATGTATATCCTCTTATAATGTATTAAGTGTTATATTACATTAATTTTAATTATATGATATTCATACAATCATATTTAAATGTATGAACCTTTTATACTTACTAAGTAAGTATATGAATGTTTATTTTAAAAATAATATAAATATTGTATGAATGCTGTAACTTGCATATATATTTATATATAAAAAAAACGTAACATTTTTACTATAGTTTTATTATAAAAACTTATGAATAACTAATATGAATAAAATACTATAGTATAACTTCATGAATATCAATGGTTCCAATCCAATTTATTTATCGCGGATTTAAATGTATTAAAATCATTAACGTTAGTAGTAGTATTTTTTATAAATATAAAGGTCCATGAGTAATAGAAAAAAAATACACGGCTAATCACATTAATGCTTTCATGTAATTAAATGAATACTTTTTTTATAACAATTATTTGAAATATAAAGGCTGCAGTTTATTAAAAAAATTAATGAGAAGTAGAAAAAAAAGGGAAAGGCTAAACGTGAAATGAAGTTATGATGCCGTTCCCTCGCAAATATTCGGCGGATGTGTTTCATAGCGCAGTCAAGATGGCGTTTCACCGAATGGAATATGCTTGTTAGAAAAAGTGTGTGAAAAAAAATGCCGCGGAAAGCTTGAGAGCAACGCGTGCGAGTTACGAAGTGAAGTTTCGATCGCAGAGTGAATTCTCGTGACTTTGCCATGCATTCTAGATGAAAATAATTCAAATGACGAGGCTGAAATGATGCGTGCATTAACCCAAGTGACAAGGCTTGTTCGCTGATCTTCGGACATTGCGGAGAACCGTGGTCGTCGAGCGGCGAACAACGACGCTATGGCGTCCATCGGACGTGTGTATGTGTGTGTCATTATTTTTAATCCGCAATTAACAGCTAATTAAGTAGTCGTAACTACGGATCACAAGTAGAATTCAATGCGTGTAAGATTCGTGCTGACGCCGGTTGCTAAACGACGCGACTTCCTAGTATTAATCGCCCGAACCGGATCAGTTCGTCCAAAAACAAACATTCTAGGCTGCTTTCGTTTCTTCTGTTTGACAGCTCCTAATCTAAATTACTTGGAATATTATAAATATTCCTTCTCGATATCCTCGGTTAAGTCTTCAAATTGTGCTTCCGCTATGATCCTCTTATTAAACAGTATCGTCCAAATCGTTGCTGTTAGAGTTTATTCGTAAGCTCGAGAATGTGATTAAACTGATTTTTCAACAAGTGTGTTTAATTCCAAATGTTTATAATACGATTTATATTTTATATGCTGTTTTAAAATATGTTGTTTTTAAGCCTTTATGAAAGAATTTTAATAATATATCAACGCATGCAATCTTCCATGTAAACATTTCTCTAAGTATAAGATTATAATTATTAATTTCTATTTTAATATTTTAGGTATTTTAATCTTAATATTAATTGAGTGTTTATTTGTGTTGTTTTGTACAAAACAAAGTAAATATTGTTTTATATACTTTACTTTTATATGAAATACAACTGTATCATTTGAAATACGATTGCATGTGATATAGCAATGTATTCCATAAATATGCAATCAGCTATTATTCATTTTAACTTATTGTACACTATGTTAACATTGAGAATTTAATAAATTGTCAAATCTGATTTATGTTAAATGTATGTAAGGTGCAATATTTTTGTTTTGTATTGTTTATTTTACATTTTTAATATGTAATTATCTTTAATTGTTTTTACTTACATATCAGTTTAGATTAAAACTTTTACTGTTAAAGTTTTTTTATGTGGCAGATTATTATTGTTTTCCGAAATTTATGAAGGAATACATTTCTTATTACAGGCATAAAAGAAAATAAAATTATATAAGTGATATGAAAACAATTTAATTAATAGTGTTATACAGGAAAGTGACTAGACATTCCATGATTTCACATAAAATTTTAGTAGAACATATTGTGACTTAATGGACTTTACACATCATGTCAAATAGTTTGGACAGTTTTTTAACACGTATTGGGGATGTCACTATAGAACGTGTGACCCCTCGTTCAGGCCCTAAGCCTAATGAAACAATAATGTCAAATGATACTGCAACAAACACAGACATGAATAATGTAGAGCCTCAAACAAATGATGAAAGTTCAGAGGAATCTAGTGCTGAAACATCTGATGGAGAACATGACAAGAAAAATGATACATTACAGTCAGAGGAAATAGAAGAAATACGTTCAGAAGGGTCAGGAGACGACATGGATTTAGACGAGACAATTGATTCACAAATTGGTGTACGAGCAGAGTCGGAACGGCAACATCATTCTCAACCTGAGGATGATGATGAAGAACCAGTTAATATATTGGATACTTTGCCATTAGAAGGTTTGTACATATATTGTTATTTTTAAAATTGCATTAAATTTTAATATTAATAGCCCTTAAATTTTTTAAAAGGAGCCCCAATAGAGGGTCAAGAAGTGTCTGAAGCAGACTTACTTGGAAAACCAATTTCCAAAGATACAGATGATGAAGAAAGTATAGGTCATGAAAATGACAAAAATGAAGATCAAGCCATGGAAGAGGAAGGTACAGAGAGTAATAAGAGGCATGCTGATTCAGAAAATTCTGATGCAGCTAAAAAGAAACAGAAAAAAGATGATGGAACTGAAGGATCTGCATCAGAATGCGAAACGAAAGCAGAGAAGAAATTAGCAAATATGAGGAGAAATATTCGAGAAGTTATGGATGAAACTCAACTTGATGAAGCTACTTTATCAGCTCAGCGACAAGAGATGGAACGTCTTCGAAGGGTACAAGAACAACAAAGAATAATTCGTGAAGTTCAACGGCAAATAGCAATAAATAGACAAAATAGCAAAACACAAACAAGAGTAATTAGTCTTTTACAAGGAAAACAGAATCAAGCAGGCACTACTATTTCACAATCATCTCCATCTGCACCAGTTCGTTTACCAAATACAGTGCTCCTTAAAGTAAATTCTGGATCTGGAACTGGATCGCAGACAACATCTGGAATGCAAACAAATCAAATACAAAGAAGATCAGTTGAAGGTTCTCGATGGCAAAAAGGTAGAGGTGTTTACCAAGGAGCACAAACGTCAATTTCGCGAGTTGGAAATCGACCTAGTGGTCCTAATATGTTACAACAAAGAATTCGAATGATGACTCCTTCTGTTAGCATATCTCCTGTAGTTCCTAAAAAGGAACCTATGGATAGATCAGAATATTATTCAGATTCTGAAATCTCTGATATAGAAGCTGAAGAAGCTTTACGCGAAAAACAAATACATGCTGCTAAAAAGATATCAACTGGACCAAAGTCTCAAAAAACTGCTAAGGGCAAAGATGTAGTTACAATATCTAGCTCTAGCGAAAGTTCAGATGATGATTGTATAGTTTTAAGTGATCCAAGTGGTGAAGAAGAAACTGACAACGAAGATGATCCATCCAATTCTGGCATGCACACTAACGATAGATATAACATTCCAGATGAACATGGTAGAGTGTTAATAAATGTGGGCCATCCTGAAACAGAACCTGATGTATTTTTAGCTCCACAGGTAGCTCGTATTATTAAACCTCATCAAATTGGTGGTATTCGTTTTCTTTATGATAATATTGTTGAGAGTATCGACAGATTCAAAACTAGTTCTGGTTTTGGTTGTATACTTGCTCACAGTATGGGTTTAGGAAAAACGCTTCAAGTTGCTAGCTTTTGTGATATTTTTTTTCGTTGTACTACTGCGAAAACTGTCCTTTGTATTATGCCTATCAATACATTGCAGAATTGGTTAGCAGAATTTAATATGTGGTTACCATATGAGGATCCTAATGCTCTGGAGAAACATGGTAAAGGTATTAAATCAGAATCTGTTGTAGAACTTAAACAAGAAGTTAAGGACGAAACTGGGAATCAGAGTGATATGTCAAACATGTCAAGTATGTCAAATATCTCAAGGCCTATTAGTACAGAATCAGCTCATCGTTTTGGACAAGAAAATACATCTCAATCTATGAACATTATATCAGAAAATCCATATATTCATCAAGGATATGAAACTCACAATATGATGCCTGGTTATGTACAAGATAATGTTATGTTAAATAAAAATATGTCAGATTCACAAGTACATATGAATGAAAATTATCATAATGATATTTCACAAAATGCATTGTATAATACAAATCCTAATCCAATGTCTACTTTTGATTCAATGAAATCAGAAGTAAATTGTCATAGTATACAACAAAGGTCAAACATGTCGGATACAAAATTTGGAATGGAAAATCAAAATTCTGGTAACATGTACCCTGGTTTAGAGAATCGGCCACAGGCTCCCATATATCCAGGTATGGAAACTCGAAATTCTAGTACTTTGTATCATAGAGTAGAAAATCACCATTCTGGGCCACCTGTATATTCTAATTATGATAATTCTACTAATACTTTCTCTAATTATGCAAATCGATCAACTCAAGAAGCAGATTCAGAATCAAGAAAAGATTGTTTTAAAAATACTTTATCTTCTATAAATGTAGAAGTTAATGTAAAGAAAGAGCCAGAAGAAATGCTTAAGAAGGAAGAAAGTACTTGTACAACAAAAGAAGAAATAGTGAATGAAGAGAAAAAAGAAATTGAGAAAGTTAAAACTCCATTTAGTGTAGATTCACCTATTGGTATGGAAATGAGACCACGGCATTTTCGTTTACATATTTTAAATGATTCTCATAAAACTATGACAGCAAGGGCTAAGATAATTCAAGATTGGCAAGTAGGAGGTGGTGTTTTATTGATTGGATATGAATTATATAGGCAATTATCTTTAAAAAAACCAAACAAAGCAAAAAGGAAACGTGGACAACCTTTTAAAGACACTGTTGATGTTGAAGAAGAAGATAAAAATAAAGGATTGTTAGATGAAATGCATGCAGCTTTAGTTAATCCAGGACCTGATTTAGTTATATGTGATGAAGGTCATAGAATAAAAAATTCCCATGCTAGCATTAGTATGGCTTTGAAACAAATGCGCACAAAACGTAGAATTGTATTAACTGGTTATCCATTACAAAATAACCTTCTAGAATATTGGTGTATGGTTGATTTTGTAAGACCCAATTATTTAGGAACTAAAAGTGAATTTTGTAATATGTTTGAAAGGCCAATTCAGAATGGACAATGTATCGATTCAACACCACAAGATATACGTTTAATGAGATACCGTGCACATGTATTACATGCTTTATTAGAAGGTTTTGTACAGAGAAGGTCACATTCTGTATTACAAGTTTCTTTGCCACGTAAAGAAGAATACATTCTTCTTGTTCGGATGACACCACATCAACGTAAACTATATGATACCTTTATGACTCAAGTAGTAAAGACACGTGCTGTACCTAATCCATTGAAAGCTTTTGCAGTATGTTGTAAAATTTGGAATCATCCTGATATTCTGTATCATTTTCTACGCAAACGGCAAGCTAATGAAGAAGATGATTTAGATTTAGAAGAAACAATTGCTGAAAAATCTACTCCGGGAGGTAAACGTTCTAAAGCTCGCCAACCAAAAGGAGAATCCAAAAAAGGAAAGAAAACAAATACGACTATAAAAAATAAACCAGCAGCTAGCGTACAACCTAATGCTTCTTCGTCGTCTAATACGGATACTCTAGAGAATGATAATTCACATACTACTCCAAAACAAAATAATTATTCTAATTATCCTCCTATGGCAATGAATAATTCAGGATATTCAAATTCTATACCACAAAATCCTTCTTATCCTCATGGTTTTCAGAATTATAGATCAAATGATCAAAATACATATTATAGGAATGAAAATACCCATGGAGAATACAATGAATTCTACAATAATCAAAGCTCACAAAGATATGGAAATCAATCATTTCAAACATATACACAAACTCCAGGATATAATGCACCACAAAATTATTCTAATCAATCACAAAATTATATACCAAATAATGAACAGGCTACAAATAATCATTCTCAAAGGTATTCAACTGCTGCTTCCAATTCAGAATTTCGTCCAGATCAAAATCAAGGAAATAATTATGAAGTATCTGGAATATTTCCACGTCAAACTTATCCTTATCAAGATCATGGACGTAATTATGGATCAAGTATGAATCAAGGACCTAATAATTATTCTCAAGTTCCAAATCCATCTTCTTTTCAATCGCAAATGCCAAATCAATCTACAAATATGCCATTACCGGATTATTCTCCATATACACCAAATCAAACTCAAAATTATAATTCTACAGCAGGTCAAACAAATACCATGTATTCGCGAAATGAAAGTCAACCATTACAAAATTCTACATTAGGATATGGTCCAAATCAACAAAGTCAAAATTCATCATCTCAAACACAGACTGCTGCATATCTTCCAACTCAACAAGGACAGAGCACAACATCTGGTCAAAATCGTGGTTTTTCACCTAATCAACAAAATCAAAATCTTTCTTTACAAAGTTCTTCTCATACTTATGGTGGCTCACAGTCATTACCAAATCAGCCTCATAATTATCCCACTCAAGTAAATCCAAATTCTTCATCACAAACATCACTTAATTTTAATCAACAAGCTCCAAATGCCATGCCTCAAAGTCAACCTCATCCATATATAACAAATTCATCAAATCAAGCGTCAATTCCACAAAATCAAATACGTGGATATCATCCTACAACAGGTCAAAATCAAATGAATGTACCACAAAATTCATCTTCATATCCCACTGGTCAATCAGCTCCAAATCCTTCTACTCAAACACACGGATATTCTCAAGATCAGCAGGGACCAGTTTCTAATGCACAAAATACAATGCATGGATATTCACATCTTGTATCTCCATCAACACCACAAACTCAGTCTTATCCTCAATCTAATATCCAAAATCAAACAGGAGCTTCATCAAATGCAAACCATGCTTATGGATCTAATCATCAAGGGTCAACATCAATTCCGTCAACACCAGCTCATAGATACAGTTCTTCTCAACAAGGACAGATGTCACAAGCTCAGAACCAACCTCTTTCATATTCTCAAAATCAGCAAACACCAAGCTCTTTAAGTCAGAACGATCAATTGTATTCTAGGCCAGATAATCAACAACAAACTCAAACTTATACAACAACAGCTAACACATCACATGAATTTTCAACAGATCGTCAAAGTGGCAATTCATCTACCAATTCTTCAAATAATTATTCAGTAAATCAAGCAACACCTCAGAATACTGTTTTACCAAATTATTCAGCAGATGGTCCAAATCAAGTAAATCAAATGAAAGCTTCAGAAGATCATTATTGGCAAAGAAATTATTCTCAACCATTTCAACCTGATCAGTGTAATGATCCATATTATCGGGATGTAAATCCAAATGTAAATAGATATCAAAGTAATTATTTTCCATCACAAAATTATCAAAATCAATCTTATGATTATAGTAATAATCATAATTCGGATATTAATACACGCTCAGAAGATTCAAAGCAATCTCAGCAATCTACTACTCATATTCAAAATTCAGGATCTTCAGAGAAAACCAAAAATAATAAAGAAATGACATCAAGTATTGGCGTACAAAGTCAACCAGTTCATCAAAATAATTTATCTACAAATTCAGCTTATAGTTCTGAATCAAATTGTCAGACTCCAATATCTAGATCTCTACAAAATCTTAGTTCATTACATAGTCCTCGATTAAATCAAAATGATTTAGTAAAAGAAGATGAAAAAGAAAAAGAAGATTTGCTAGATAAAGATAAAGAAGATAAGTCAGATGATGAAATTCTTACGAAAGATGAAGAAAAAGATTGTAAAAGTTCTCCAGGAGGCAAAGAAGACCCTGGAATTCCATACGATTGGGTAAATATAATAAATATAAACTAATATTATATTAACTAATATTAATAATAATAATAACTAATATTATATTAACTAATAATATAAGTAAATTTAATTTTCTTATTTGCAGGCAACAGAATTAATGAAAGGCTACGTACCAGGATTAATTGATGCATCTGCAAAAATGACAATTTTCTTTTGTATTTTGGAAGAAGCAATTAAGCTTGGTGATCGTGTTTTAGCATTCTCTCAGTCATTATTTACGTTGAATCTCATTGAAGATTTTTTAGCTAGAAACAGTTTAAAGTATCCTGATGGACAAACTGATGCTTGGATTAAAAATGTAAATTATTATCGTCTTGATGGCAGTACTAGCGCCTTAGAAAGAGAAAAACTTATTAATGAATTTAATAATAATCCAAAAATTCATCTTTTTCTTGTTTCAACACGCGCTGGTTCACTTGGTATTAACCTTGTTGGCGCTAATCGTGCCATTGTGTTTGATGCTTCTTGGAATCCTTGTCATGATACACAGGCTGTTTGTAGAGTGTACAGATATGGCCAACAGAAACCTTGTTTTGTTTATCGTTTAGTTACTGATAATTGTTTGGAGAGAAAAATATATGACAGGCAAATTAGTAAGCAAGGAATGGCAGATCGCGTGGTTGATCAATGCAATCCAGATGCTCATCTTTCATTGAAAGAAGCAACTACATTATCTTGGGATTGGGAAGAAGATAGTCAAGTACAAGATTTCTCTCAAACAAAAGATAGTTATTCTGATGAAGTAATGCATCGTGTATTAGAACGTCATTCTTCGTTATTAACTAAACAGCCTTTCCATCATGAAAGTCTTTTAGTTGATAGAAAAGATAAAAAACTTAGTCAAGCGGAAAAGCGATTAGCTCGTCGTGGTTACGAACTTGAAAAAATGGCAGCCAATTGTTCTAGACCCAGTTATAATTATGTTCCTGGAAATACTGCTACACGGGGTACGATTGATTCCAAAATTTAGTTGTTTAAAATATATATGTCCGCGTTATATATTTCTTATACTAAATTATTGTAGCAGGTGGATTACAAATTCGAGCAATTCGAGGTGGTGATAGCAGTACTACTTCTAAACCAGTTGCCTCAGTTAGACCAATGCAGCAACGTGGTGCTGAAGGTTTAGGTTCACGTAGCGTAACAGGAAGTCGATGGATACCAGCAGAAGTATGGCAAAGACAAGGAATGAGTGCGCAAGAAATGACATTACCTTTAGATGTTGTTATTCCTACTAATTCACCTGATAAAGGAAGTATTGTATTAAAAGCTGGTCAGCGAGTAATGGTACTGAAAAGTCCGAAAGGCATTTATATGCAATTAGAATCTGGTAAAATTATTGCTATTCGAACGGCTCTTAAATTAAATCAACAAAAACGAGAAGAAGAACAACCCAAGAAAGGTATATCAATAATTAAATGTTTTATTAAACAGTTATCCTATCTCTTCTAACTTTTAAAATTTATTTTATTTTATTTATATTTATAGGTGTATCATCAATGGCACAGAGGAATTCAAAGCCTGAAGTCGGATTTCCATTGAGAAATAACTCAGCTATTTCTATTATACCGAAATCTTCTTCAAGTAATCAAGCAAGTGGTCGTTCAATTAATAAACCAGGAAACGGACCTAATTATAGACCATTCGCAGATAAGGAAACCTCAAAAAGACCAAAACCTGTTGCTACTGCAACTGCCAAGCCGTATTTGAGTCAAGTTAATCTAACCAATCAAGTTTCTCTGTCAAGGTTACCAAAAGTAAAACAGGAACCTTTAGATCATTCCACACTTGGTGAAAATTCAAATTCTTCAGATGGTCAAGTTAGAACTGAACAAAGGGTGGAGGAAGTCAGATTGGAAGATGTGGTTGCGGAAGTAAGTTCGAATACAGATTATAGTCCTAATCATAACCGTGTAGCCAATTCTGATACCGATACTACTGCTCTACAAAAGTCATCTGAAGAAAACAGTCAAGTATATACTTCGGAATCTGTAACTGCACAAAGTGTTCAAACACAACACGATCAAACGGAAACGGAATTGACACCGAAAATTGATAAACAATGTTCTCCTTCAATTGAAAAGGAGATTATGAAAACAACTGATGCATTAACGAATTATGGGCATGCTTTTCAAACTCAACAAGAAAAAAGAGATACGTCCAATGATGAAATTATAATTGAAGATCCATCGCCAGTATCATCTCAAATGCAATCGCAAGTATCATCACAAATGCCATCGCAAATACCACCACAAGTATCTTCGCAAGTACAATCACAAATATCACAGCAAGTACAGTCACAAATATTACCTCAGATACCATCACAGTTACCACCACAAATACCACCTCAGATACCTCCTCAGTTATCGTCACAAGGACCATCACAAATACCTCAAGCATCACCGCAAGTTACACCACAAGTAGCGGTGCAAGTTCCAGCACAACCAGCACCGTCTGGTTCATTGTTGGCACAACAATCTACATCGTCAACTGTGCAAGTACCACCAACGACATCTGCATTACGAGGTACGGAAGTCGCTAAAGGTATAACTGATTCAACTATTGGTTCTTCTGCTACATCCGTATGTACTGGAACAAATACTATGACATCTCCAAAAACAGCAGAACCAAGTATGCGTGAAACTTCTATACAAAGTGATCCTCCTAATGTTCCACAAGGCTATCCTTATGCTCAGTATCCACGATATTACGATTATAGTGATCCTCGATCACGATCATTATCCACTCCTTATGGTACGTATTTCCCTGGTGTTCCACCTCATGCAGCAAATCCTAGATTACCAATGGATACTACTAAGAGTCAACCAGATCTAGGAAAACCCATAGAAGAGAGAACAATGATGAATGTGCCTCCTGCATATTCGCAAGTACCTAATACTACTGCCAAAACATTAGCAAATACCACAGAAACGAAAGGTGCAGAAGCGATGGTAACCACAACGGTAGCTACTAATAGAGATGAAACGCATATACCTACTGCGTTTAGTCATCCTACAAGTAGTCGTTATCCTGGACCTTATCCACCAGGACCGTATGATCCATACTCTCAGCATTATCCTCCGGCACCCGGTTCGTCGGCAACTTATCCACCAGGTGGTAAGTTGAGATTTTGTTACTTCCCATTATTTATTTATATTTAAAAAAAGAAAATGTATTGAAACTAAATTTTTGAAGTAGGTGCTCCTGGATATCCAGCATATGGTGGCCCGAGCTACAATACAGAATATGCTCGTATGTATACAGCATTTCATGGTCCTCCTCCACCAACAGATCCTTACATACATAGAGGTTATGCACCCCCTTCTTCGCATCCACCTAATTATTATCCTCCGTTTCCACATCCACCACCGCCTTATCCGAATTATTCATTTTTGTCACCATATCCAAATCCCAATATGCCTAGCGAGCCACAGCCACCTGCTCAGTAGGAAACTTAAGTGGTATTATGATAAATTATTAGTTTAATAATTAATAATTTCATAAAATGTCGCATATTGCGAAAGTTCAAAGGCTGTCGCGATTCAGAAGCTTAATAGACTGAAGCTGTAAAACGCATTGATGTAAATATTTAGTCACAAGTATTGTATTAAGATAATAAATTTATGCAGATACTTTTAAAAAAGTACTGTGTTTATGACGAGAGAGATGACATAATCTCAATTAACTTTGAACTGTGCAATTTGTTGAAATGTTCAGAATATTTAGCCTTAACTGTCATGCCGTTTTACGATGCGTCTATTCGACTAAATAATGTCAGTGGTTATAAGTACGAATAATTTCTCAATTTGATATTCCATTCGAGGAAGTATTTATGTTTTTATTTTAGCATATTAACATTGATTATGTGAGTGTATTAAAGATTTGATTAAGAAATGAGGAGATACTTAGAACATAGAAAGCATTTTTGTTATTTATTTTTAATTTTCTATTTCTTATTTTTTACTTTTAACGAGATAACAAGGAATATTGAATGAGAAATAATTTTGTACATTTTAAACGAGTAACATACAGAAGAAAGGAATGCTGTATACTATTATTTAGCTTTGTGCATAAATGCTACATTAATACACTTTTGTATTCTAGAAGAAAAATGTAAAGAAATGATTCGGTCAAATTCAATACTCAGAAAAATATGAATTGTAAGGAAAGAGTGAAAACATATTTGTAAAAGTTTACATGCCAGCATTCCATCTTCGATTTTATATGTATTGAAAATAGGATTATATGTCGTTTTAAAATTAATGGAATTTTCATTTTAATTAATTTTAGGAGAGTGATGGATATTTACGTATTATTTATAAAATGATATTATTTAAAAATATATTTAAAAAGTTATTAATATTTTTTGGATAGTAATATATTTATATAATCTTAGAATTTAATACTTTTAATATTTTGATTAAACTATTATATACATCATATACAATATAATGATATTTTTTTTTACTATATATTATTACATTATTCATCACTCTTCCATTTATTACAAACTGCGCATCGCTATTTCGGTTTTCATAACAACAATTAATCTTTAAACAATAAAATTAGGCTTCATTTACACCACATGCTCTGAATCTATATATCACCTCTAACTTTTTACATACATTATACGTACAGTATTCACTTGGAACATTTAGCAGCCAGTATACAGTTTACAGCGTCCTTAGCAAGTTGTATATGACGTATTACTATTAAACGTTACAATTTCTGAAATAGATAATCTCATAGTAGGACGTAGGATTGTTGTTAACTAGAATGTCTTACAGTTCATGACTGTCTTGGAATATAAATAAAAAGGACAGGGAGAACCATGATTTTCAAAAGTGACTTTTCAAGCTCGGAACTGTGATATTTTGTCATATTCTCGTGTAACATTTTTGCTTGTATACTTTTATTTGGAATCGAAATTGAATTTCGATTCTTGCATAAAATTCGTAGATACGAAGGACAATGATCGCAGATGTTGGTCTACTGGATTAAAATTGTGCATTTATGTTAATGTAAGTTAATTGGGAGTTAGAAGCACGAGATTTTTAATCAATTTCCCAAATGGGATATAGAGCCGCATGCATGTTTATCATGGTGCTCCCTTTAAATACTATAGGTGAATTATTATATAAATATTCATGCTGGACACTATTAGAATGTGTTTCTCATTGAATCTGTCATGTGTTTGCTACACGAGAGATACATTGACATCTTACATGTTGGTACGTGTTGTGGTTGTACGTTTTCTAGGTTTTAAGTGTACAGGATTGACATGATGCGAATATTAATGTGAGATGTATTTTTGCAAACAAATGACAGAATCTATTGCAAATACATACAAGATTATATTTACAAAAGATAAAACAATTATTTTGTCTCTGTTATAGCTTTTTTGCCATTTACATACTTGTAAATATCCATAATTTACATTTCATACTTTATTTATTACTATACATTATCCATTATTATCGCTTTTTTGATGTCAGAGTATTGCTCTTATGTAAAATAAATTGTTTACACTGATCAAGATTGTTTTTGATTGTAGTATTGTTATGCGAAAAAATTGA